TATATATTTCTTTCTGTTGTCAGGCTTTTAAATTCTACTTTTATAATATGAGAACAGCACAGTTTTAATTCCAGGCTTCCTGAAACAGAAAACAACGTTATTATTGCTGATCACAGACCTTATTACACTATAGTTCATGTTTAATTAAGCAAAGAAAAGCAAACCTGAAACAGGATTGATCTCACTTTATCCCTAATTACTTTGAGATTGTATAAAATCACAGAATGGAAATTATTAAGACTGAGAAAATAAGCCTCAGATATTCCAGCTTTCCTTTATTAAAGATTTGAAATGTAGATGAATTTCTGAATCATGAATTATAATTTAATATATCAGTAAATGGTAAATCTGTTAATTTTAAAGAATCCTATAAGGAGTTTTAAGAAAATCTACAGGGACCATGAGAGCTGAGCAGGAAAAAAAAATGCTGCTGAGTTTTAAGTTCAGTTTTAGATTGAAACTTTGTCATAATTGATTTATTGGCTCCTTTCAAAAAACATTTTGATCCGAAACCAATGAAAAGCAGAGGGAGCACTGGTTTTTGTTCTGCACGTAAAAGCTGAATTGTAATGGCAAAACAGATATAGCTCTCAGACGAGCTATATCATTGTAATGAAACCTCACCTATTAGGGTTTAAAAACACCCAGAGCAGAACTTTAACTTAAAGGTATAGTGGATGATTTTCAGTAATTTTTTTGAAAGAAAGAGTTATGTTTATTTATAAAGCACCTTTCACAGACATAGAGGTCACAAAGTGCTTCACAAATTACAATACAAATAAAATAAATTTACAGTCACAAAAGACATGGTCATAAGACAACCCTTAATCTACTGGGATTAAAATACTTTCTTAAACAAATTTCAGTTCACTCTTAAAAAATCAACAGAATCAAGTAAGTGCAAGGAAAGCGGGAGATCGTTCCAGAGTGTCAGTGTGACTGCCTGAAAGGAGCGACCTCTCCTGGTCCTGTAACGAGTACGAGGGACCAAGTGCAGGTTCTGATCCTGAGACCTCAGCCTCCGAGATATGACATAACAAGTCTCTAATATCAGAGGGAGCCTGACTGTGGAAGGCTGTGAAGGTCAGCACCAGGATTTTAAACTCGAACCAAAAAGAGACTGGGAGCCAATGAAGAGCTTTTAGAATCTGCGTAATATGAGTTATTCTGTTTGTACGAGTCAATAACCTCGCCACAGAGTTCTGAACCTGATGAAGACTCCTTTTTGTTTAGACATGAGGATAGACGGTTACAGTAGTCTAAACGGGAAGACACAAAGGTGTGGACAATCATCTCTGGACTCAATTGTTCCAAGTTTAGAGCTTTTTGTTAGTTGGTAAAAACAGTTCCTTTTCAGCAGTTTTGAGTGGTGCTCTGAGGACAACGTTTTGTCAAAGATGACGCCTAGGTTTCTAAGGCTAGCCGTTATCTTTGGATGCAGCCTCTGCTGGTTGAAGCTTAGAGGCGACTTTATCTGCGCAGACACACCGTTCTACTTTTGTCCAACTAAGACACAAAAACATTCACTTTAGAGATATAGGCCTTTTTAAAGAACAACACATTCTGACTGTTGTTTTTGTCTCTTCCAGTGAGCCTAAAGTAGCCAGCAGGATATTCCAGTGTTGTGCCTGGAATGGAGGAGTGTTCTGGGTACGCCGCTCCTCAAGTTCAGATCTCTGCTCAGTTGTTTTTGCTCTCTCAACCAAACATGATCCTTACAGATCTTTTATTCTCTCTCCTCAGCTCAGTCTGTTTCTCTTCTACCGGGTCTTTATCCCCCTGCTGCAGACCCTCACAGCAAAGATCATCGGTATGCATGGCTGCTAGTTAATGTCTAGTTTGTCGTGTAACAAGCAGACCACGATTAACGCCGTTTCTGCTGCAGGTGACCCCTCCCTCCATGGCAGCGTGTGGTCCTGGTTAGAATTCATCGTGACATCCGTCTTCAGCGCCCTCTGGGTTCTCCCCTTGTTCGTCCTGAGCAAGATAGTCAACGCCATCTGGTTCCAGGTCCGGGCTGCCTTCCTGCTTAAACCGCAGACTTAAATAAAACACTGATTTTCATACATATCTGAATCGGTGAAGTCATCCCTGTTGGTCCAGAAGTCTTAGACGTGTTCTTTGTTTGCAGGATATAGCTGACCTTGCGTTTGAAGTGTCTGGCTGCAAAGCTCAGCCCTTCCCCAGCGTCAGTAAGATCATCGCAGACATGCTGTTTAACCTGCTGCTCCAGGCGCTCTTCCTCATCCAGGTGAAAACTTTCCCTCAGATGCTTTCTTCGCTTTTAGACACCTTTTCTAACGTTGTAAGGATCTAATCTTTCACCAGAGGTCAGTCAAGCAGGCTAATCCTGCTGGCTAATCTTTGGAAAATACTTTTATAATGAAAAACATATTAGTAGTGAAGTTGTAATTTGAAAAAGTCAGATTTGGTATGTTTTTTATGAAGAATATTGTTTGAAAGGAATGTTTCTAACACTGTTATGTGTTTTACTTTAGGGTATGATTGTTAGCCTTTTCCCCATCGATGCGATCGGTCAGATGGTCAGCCTCCTCCACATGTCTCTGCTCTACTCCCTGTATTGCTTCGAGTATCGTTGGTTCAACCACGGTGAGATTGTCCTTCATTTTCAACTCCTGTAGTGAATCATGGGGACTTAACAATAGCACTCCCAAGGCAGTGATTTTGACGGTTCTGAGATTTTCAGCTGAAATAATTTTGTTTACATTAATCTTATGTTTGTTGGTTTAACTGACTTTTCCTGTTTATACTTCTTCTTTATTTTCACATTGTTTTTTTTAGATGAAATATAACCCCCAAAATATAAATATGGTTAACTTGAGCTCGATCTCCCACAGCCATCATTTTGACGGCTCTATTAGTTGCATTGTCATTTCTTCCTGCGGTTGATTGATGTTCTGTACAGTTGCCTAGCAACCAAAATTCTACCTTGAAAACTCTGAAACTCTTTGTCCATTTCTTAATTCACGAGAACGTGAGTTCGGACTGCTCTTGAGAAGAACACAGGAAAGTTTGGACTCGGGGAGAATTGGAGTACGCAGCATAAATATGGGTCCATTGGAACAGAAGCGTACTCGTGACGCCACCACATGCCCGACTCGTCTGGAGCTGCATTTCACCTCCTGTTATTACTATTTTGTATATAATAATAAATTCTGACTGTTTTCATTTATTGGTGTAATTACAATAATGAACACAGTCAGATAAACACAAATCAAATGAACAGTTTGCCAAATAAAACAAAAAAATCGTCATCAGAGCCAGCGGTACTTCACACACGGCGAAGTCGAGAGAGGGCTGCTGCAGACGGGCTGGGATTAGACCTGACCGCAGTTACCCTCGGAGCTCCGCTGGTTCCTGTGGTCCTCTTCGGAATGTTTTTTTATTACACATTAAAGCAGTAAATGGGCCATATAGTGACGCTTAAACGTATAATGTTCTCGCCTCCATTGATCTTAAAATGTACTTTTATTGAACAACGGCAAAAGAAAAGAGAACTTTGAACTTAATACTCTAAACTCTGTTGGCGCTCCATTGGAAACTGCTGCTGCCGCAGTGCATGCTGCTGGGACAGCCGTCAATCTCAAGAACGGGCAAGTCTCCTCTGATGCATGCTGGGTAAATAGGGAGGGGCGAGAACCACATCCGGGGACTTTGTCCGTTCTCGGTCTGCTGCTCTTGTGAATTGGAACAGTACTAGGGCTGAGGTTTATGACGTTTCACAAGCACATGAGAACGCACAAGTACACATATTGAGAAACGGCCTCGGCTTTCAGAAGAAATCTAAACGTGAAACAGGCTTTTGAAATGCTTCAAAATATGATAGCGATTCAGGTGGAAAGGCAGAGGCTGATGATGGCGACTGGTCGGTAAGAAGTGGCTGTCTTTTATAATCTGTTGAACATGGCAGCTATAAACGCGTTGGTTTTGTTCAGGGGCTGTTTAAACGTCACCGTTTAACGTAGAGATTTTATCCTTGAACTGGTAAAATAGTCGCATGCCGACCTCATGCGCATCAAAGAACCACAAGTTACCAACCACTCCCCCGCAGTAGAGCCAGATTTGGCGAGGCAAAGAAAACAGCGCTAGGTGTTAGCGGTGCACAAAAAAACTAATGTGTTTGTCATAAAGGTAAAAAGGTGGTATGCGAGAAATGTTTGGGAGGAATCAATCCATTTCTGTAAATAAAATTGTGGAGTAAAACAGTCTAATTTATCTAACTTTTTTTCCCCTTTTTTTTTCTTCTTTTTTTCTAATTTTTTTTCCTTTCCTTTTTTTTCCCTAATTGGTTCTTTTTTACAACGGAGTATAAGGGCCAGGCTAGAGATTTTTTCCTCTTCTATTTCAAGAATAAAGTCGTAACATTACGCAAATAAGGTCATGAAATTATAAGGATAAAATTGTAAAATTATGAGAATAAAGTCAGAATTTACGAGAAACAACTTGTATTGTATGACAACTCTTACAAGAAGCACTTTCCTCACTAAAATGAGGAATGTGGAGCATCATGTGAAGTTATCCTGGCTCTGGTTTCACAAATAAGGAAATCTTTTAGCACCAGCATCAAATTAGGCAGAATGTCAAAGTGGACTCAGGTTGCTGTTAAATGGAGCTGGCCGGCCGTCATATGCTGGTCGGAGCTTGAGGCTTTCTTTCTGAAATGGGTTGTTGTATGATGACTTAATTCTCGTAATATTACAACTTTATTCTCGTAATGTTATGACTTTATTCTCAAAATAAAGAAGGAAAAAAAAAATCTCTAACCTGACCCTTATATTCTGTAGTAATCTTTAATACAGACTTAAAATACAAATAATAACAGCATACAATATAGCCTTTAAAAAACTATTGCAGTCGATGACATCATCACTACTCATGCGTTTCATCAGAGAAAATGCCACCCGTCAGATTGACGGCCGGTGGGAGTTCTAGTAGGATTTGAATTCTGGGAGTCTTGGTGTTAAAGGTTTATTCCTTGTTACTGAAGGCATCGAGATGCACCAGCGACTGTCCAACATCGAGAGGAACTGGCCCTACTACTTTGGCTTCGGTTTACCCATGGCTCTGCTGACGGCCATGCCCTCCTCATACATCATCAGGTCCGTGGCAAACATTTAATGAATTTACAGGAAAAAGATGTTTATATTATATTTTGAAGCTTGATTCTTACAACAAGAGTTGTAATTTCCAGTGTCTACCTTTAGGATATTACTGCAGGAAGCAGGAAAGTGTTAATTCATTAAAATGGATCACCTGGTTCTGATTTTATCTGCTTTTCTTTTCCTTTCCAGTGGCTGCTTGTTCTCCATCCTCTTCCCTCTGTTCATCATCAGCGCTAATGAGGCAAAGACGCCAACAAAACTATAGTGAGTCTGACGGTTATTGGCTCCGTTGAATTAGATTTAGCCATGATGGAAAGTCACATTGATGTGCTTTGCTGCCAAAGAGCCAGACGTCTCTATATAGAGCCTCTTTCCACGTTAAAAAAATCCCTCAGATGGAGAAAGATGAAAAGAAGTTTAAAGTAAGGCTGAGCCATTGTCCCAAAAATGAAAATTGCAATTATTTTAAACCAATAGTGTGATTTTATTAAATTTTTCCCTTGGACTAACCCCAACCATGTTAATGTTTTTACTCAAGGGTTTAGAGTTTTTTATGACCTTGCAAGCTTGCTTGTCCAAAATCAATTTTTACAGGACTTTACTGTAATCTTGGTGCATCTTTCTCTTCTCTTCTGTGTGGTTCAAACCTGCTTTAAAGCCCTTGTCACACCTTGACTATTTCGACCAGCGTATGCCTGACGTACAAAAAATCTGGCAAAAACGATGGCAGATGTTTTATAAGTTATGGGTACGATTTGTATACAATATTTTTCAGATCATAAGTGGCACTTTTTTTTTCATGGTTTGGCTGGCCATGCAACTTATCTTTGGTGCGACATATATACATTTTTTTCACCACGAGAGGGCGCTATGTAGCTTTTCATGCAACATGTATTCTATTACCGGTAATACGACTGAAAGAAAAAAACGTTACAACTTACCTACTTAATATTAGTGCTGCGCCGCTGCCAAACGAGTAACTTACAAGTTACTCATAAGTAACTTGTAAGTTACTCATAAGTCGTGCGTCTAAGCAATGGGGTATGCGTAACTTATAAGGAACTTATCTCCAATCCAATTATATCAACGTATCTGCCGTTTTTCTAACTTACAGCTACTGTATAATGGCGTGTTGTCAGCGTTTTGGTATAAAAGGGGGTTCACAGGAGGAAACCGTCAGTTCTCCTCCAGACTTCTTCGCCATCTTAGGGTGAGCGAGAAGGTGAGAGCGATGGATCCTCCGTGCGTTCACTCCCACAGCCAACAAACTTCCTGGCAGACATGACGCTGAATCTGCTGCGACTGCAAACCTTCTTTCTTTTTATCTTTTCTGTTTGGCAGTCGGTAAACAGCTGCTAGGTTAATACCGTGATCAAAGACACCTTTTTATGCAGGCTGGGTGCCTCCTAGCACATCGCTGCCTCCCTCAGGACTCGTGACATTTTCGTGACATGCTTGTGCCATTTCATGGGCATTACGCTGCCATGCGTTATGCATAAGCTAGGCTGTTGTCGGACATAAGTTCTGGACTCGTTATGGATGCTTTTTATTAGAAACCCTGTGATCTAAAAAAAAAAAGGTTGCTTTTTATAATGAAAAAAAATTACAGATGCACAACTTTTTAATTTTTACTATCGTAAAAAAACAACTTACCAGATTTTCGTTTTTTTGAGATTTTAATTCAATTCAGTTTATTTGTATAGTGCCAATTCACAACACATGTCATCTCAAGGCATTTTACAGTTCACCAGATCATCCAGTCTATTGATTCAAAGTTTTCTATCTAAGGAAAACCAGTTGATTGCATCGACTCATTGATTCGAATACAATCCCTCACACTAAGCATGCTTGTAGCGACAGTGGAGAGGAAAAACTCCCTTTTAACAGGAAGAAACCTCCAGCAGAACCAGGCTCAGTGTGAGCGGCCATCTGCTGAGGCCGACTGGGGTTCAAGGAGACAGAAGCAGAGATACAAGAAGCAGCTGTAAAAGGCGGCCCCGTCCAGGAAACAAACAGTCAGGCAGACGAGCTCTGGGCCAGCTCCCATGTCAGAGGATGAAGAGAGCACATCCAGTTAGTCATTTTTAAAACTTTATTTTTATCATCCCCCTTAAACATCATGATTTAACCCTTCTTTTGGTCTAGTAAGTGAAATCCTAATGAAACACTGGTTAGAAAAGATATTGTCGTATTCTTTTAATTTATCTTTAGCATCTTCTGCACTCCTTGCCGACCTGTTTAGTCGCATCTTTGCTGCGTAACTTAGAGCTCTGACTCTTTGTGGTTAAAAAGCAAATAAAACTTTCCTTCTTGATAAATCTGTGTCACTGATCACACGTCTCCCTCCCAGTCACTTCCAGCTGCGGCTCTTCTCCTTGGTCGTGCTGATCAGCAACAAGTTTTTCCACAAAACTGTCCACCTGCAGTCCTCTCTGACGCCATCCGCCTCATCGGAGAAGCTGTCCTCGCCCCAAACCTCCCCGAACCGCCACAGACTGCTGCACAGCCAGTGATGGATCCACACCATGATGCCAAACAACATTTGGCGTCAGACAGCGTGGTGGTGGGGAAGAAAAGTGACTCTTCCCTGAAGATGATGATGATACGCAATGTAAAATGAAGGGTTTATGTAGAATATTGTATCTAAGTCCAAACCAGGCACATTTTGACTCACCCCTCAGTCTGAACACCTTATAGAAACATTTTAACAGCTGCAACTTTGTTTGTTTGGTCTTCTCTTTCAGTTGAATTGTTTTATTTGTAAAATGTGCCATTTTAATGACTCAATTTCAGATTACAGCACAAGAAACCGTTTTAATCTTGAGCAGATGTACCCAAGTAGACCTTTTTTCTTTCTTTCTCTCTGTAAAGGACCTTAGAAGGAGCAGCAGTAGGTTTTACCTGCAGGATTTTCAAACACAAACGTGTGAATTCTTTCCCTGCTACCTTTCAGTCTCACATGAGGTCAGGCAGGTTTATGTTGCTGTTTATAACCGGTAAGAAAGCCGCTCCTGTTTGGTGTCTCATCCAACCAGCAGGGGAGAGTTTACCGTATCCCCTGCTAGTTATTGGCTGCTCACAGTGTCGACGCTGCCAAACCACTGCAGTTTTTCTTTTGTTTTTTTCCACTTAACCTACAAACATGCAAAGCTCTGTGATGAAACGGGGAGTCAAACACTTTCTTTTTATAAATTAGGTGATCCGCCTCTTTTAGCGAAACCTGTGTCGTCCCCAGAGAGCTGTCCTTATGTCTAACTCTCAAAGACTGTTTGTTTTCTTCTGTGCTGTATCTCATACCTCTTAAGCCTTCCTCCAGACACCTCGGCCCTCTCGCTAATGTTTCCTCCTTCACTGACCGAGCTCATGGCTGTGCATAGAGGGCAGTGATTCTCAAAATGTGTGCAATTCTAAAAGGAGCATAGTGTTAGTGGTTTTATTGTTTTTCTTTTTGTAAAAGTAATTCACCTAATTTGAATAAAATTTGGTCAGTATTCAATATTTGAAATGTGTATGGAGATTATTTCAGCTTTTTATTTGATTTGAAGAGGAAAAAGTCTAATCTGCTGTTTTCGCTCTGATGTCATTTAAATGTGTTTACATGAAATCAGACTGTATAACCAATCAGGTAAAGATGTGTCCTCCATGAAAACGTCACGATATATATATATATATATATATATATATATATATTGCCTGACCAAAAAAAAGTCACCACCTGGATTAAACTAAGCAAATGGGTACGAGCCTCGAGCATCCTAGTGGATAATTACTGCATGGGCGATTATCTTTCAGCTGGCAACAAGTTATTTAACTCCAACTGGTGCAATGACTTGCATCTTATTTCCTAAACAGCCATGTGGAAAGACACATTCCGTGGTCATGGAAAAAATGTTTGACAACTTTCACTTTTATTTCACTACACTTATGAACTTAATTGCATACTTTTACTCCAAAACATTTTCAATGTTTAGTTTAGTTACTAAGAAAAAAAAAACAAACAAAAAAACGAACGAGAGCGAGAGAAACGCAGGTGTTTTGACCTCACCTACTGACTACAAAGTCGGGTCTTACCTGGGCTTGTTCATCAACACCAATAGGATACGCCTGTTTCGCAAAGTCACTCTAAATTTATCCTACACTTGGTTGTGTATATTTTAAGTGAATTTAACCTTCAAAGTTTACCAAAATGTAAAAAAAGGGCATGCAAACCACACTTACTTTTCACTACATTACTTGAGTACGTCTATTTTTACAGTAATTCTTATAGTAAGTACAAGTGCTTATTAAGTACAAGCCATTTCAGTTACTTTAAGAGTTTTACTCAAGTAACATTTCAGTCAGTGACTTGGACTTTTACCAAAGTCATGTTTTGGAGAGGTACTTATACTTTTACTTGACTCAGAGATTTCAGTACTTTATACAACACTGGATATGTTGATAAAAGGAGAAGATGATTCAATTTGAAAAAAGATTTTCAAAAATTTAAAAAAGTTGGAGCGGAAACTTTAATGGATTGATAAGTGACGCATTAGAACTAAAAGCTGCTTCTCTATGTTTGGTTCTGGTTCTGCAGAATAAATCCTATCCGGTCGACCTGAGAGGTCTGGGTGTTTGATCCACTGAGTCTGTAATTACAAGTCAGTAAATATCTTGGAGCAAATTGATTCAGACTGACTGAAGTATTTAAAATCTATTATCTGAGCTACGGAGAGCCAATGGAAGGACTTTTGAACTGGGCGAATGTGCTCTATTAGTTCTAGTGAGGACGCAGTCAGCACCATTCTGATCTGCTTTTCAGGCAGACCTGTGAAGACACTGCTGCAGTAATCAATGCTACTAAAGATGAATGAGGTCAAGTCTGCTGAGACATTAGTCCCTTTGAAGGCAATCATGTCCTTTCCAGGAAAATTATTGCTTCACACTATATGATCTGGCTGATAAGCTAAAATAATTAGAATTTCTCAATGTGCTGCATCACCTGCTACTTCTGCTAACAATGTTTTTTTAGTTTGAGCGTTCTGATGAATCCAGTTTATCCAGACATGCATCCATCTGCAGCACAGCTTTTGGCCTGCCTTCATTTCATTTAACACCAGAGAATAAAGAAGAAAAAACTATCATAGAGCAGGTAGAAAAACGGTTATTCAGAAAAGCTGCAAAGCCATACTTACAAACTTCAAAGAAAATATGAAAAGACACCAATCAACAGCTATATAAACACATAGTTTACTAGTTAAAGTTCTCATAACCTAATTTGTTTCAGCTTTGCCTTAGAGGGTCATTTCTATCAGACCAACTTTAACACTTTAGTTTTTTTTTTATTACTTCATTACAAATGTAAATATTTAGTCAAACTATCTATTTTCTGCTGCAGTATCTCAAATTTGTATCTACCAGCCTTTTAAGCCCAGTGGGAGGGGTTTATCTGTTAAAGTGAAGATTAATATCAACTATATTAATCTAAGATGGACTTAATGGGAAAATAAATGTTGCACTTTAATGTGATTACATTTTAAATTCATGACGCACTGCAAAAAAAGGAACCATAATCTACTTAATTCTGAAATATTTATAAATGAAATAAACATATATTGATTTTATATTTGAATGCATTTCTTTTTTTAATGATTTTCGGTAGAATACAATTCAGCTTTATTTTATTCTATTCCATCATAAAAAGAAATTAATTCATTAAAAAATAAAATTAACATGTATCAATGTTATATTTGAATTAATTTCTGTTTTTAATGATAGAATAGAATTCAACTTTATTCTATCTTATCATTAAAAAAATAAATTCATGTATGTAATTTCATGTATAAATATGTGTAAATATAGTCATATAAGAAATTATTGACACATTGATTATTTATATATGTATGCCCTTTTATTATATGTAACTGTTTCGTGTTTATCTTTATACATTTAATACCTTTTTGACTCCATGATGATTAATTGTAGTTTAGGTAATATAATTTTCCAACAGCAGGGGGAGACACGTTTCCACATCAACTCAAAGGACACGTCACTACACCGCAGCGTCAACGTAGACAGTAACAACTGATTGACAACCAAAGAACCAATCACATTCATGTTGGCTAATATTTACCCGACAGTTAACCAATAAACGTGCACGTCAATGTAAAAGGAGGCGGGATTACGTTGGAGTAAAGGTTGTGTGTGAAAAGTGTATGAGTAGCAGGAGCGGCGGAGCGGGTAAGTGTCTGCTTTTAATCATTTAATATTTACATGCTATTCTGATCAGAATCTGATACTTTCTCTCCCAAATTTGCAATATATGTATCCTTTAAAAGAAATGTTAAAAAAAGAGTATCGGGAGTTTTTTCTTTACTAAAAGGGGGCTAATATGTTAGCTTGTGAGGCTTCGCCTCTAGATTTACATGAACCAAAAACTGCATCAGAGCTAATTTAGGAGATGTTGAAAAGCTTTCATTGTTTAATTTCATGTATTCCTTCACCCAGTCATGCATGCACACTGTCTAAATGCAGCTAGTATTTCAGTGTTTAAACACATTTGCCGTGGAGGCTGGTTAATGTCTGTCATTTTAAGGCTAGTTTGACTGATTTCTCTGCTAACTGGACAGATAGCCTTTCAAACAGAAGCTCTCTGTGATTTCAGCTCCAGGTTTAGATCAGATGTTTGAGCGCAGACCTCTGCATGGTGTGAAGAGTGGCTGCTTCCTGGTTTCTGACGCCATACCTATTGCGTGTCCTTAGCTGGTTGGGCTGAAAATGGAAGCTCAGATCCTGACTCTGGCTGCCATTCTATGGGGTTTTCAATTCTATTCAGTTTATTTCTATAGCGCCAATTCACATCACATGTCACCACAGGGCACTTTACAGTTCAACCAGATCATCCAGTCAGATTGATTCAAAGTTTTCTATCTAAGAAAAACCAGTTGATTGCATCAACTAGTCAATTCAAATACAATCCCTCACACTAAGCATGCTTGTAGCGACAGTGGAGAGGAAAAACTCCCTTTTAACAGGAAGAAACCTCCAGCAGAACCAGGCTCAGTGTGAGTAACCATCTGCTGAGGCTGCTGGGGTTCAAGGAGACAGAAGCAGGCTAACAAAAACAGGCTAATCTCCAAAATCTAGCAGACATACAGAAAGAAGCAGAGATACAAAAAGCAGCTGTAAAATGCGGCCCCATCCAGGAAACACACAGCCAGGCAGACGAGCTCCGAGCCAGCTCCCATGTCAGGGGACGAAGAGAGCACATCCAGTTGGTCAGAGTCAGAGAAACAGGGCCACACTGGAAAAACAGGCCGATCTCCAACATCTATAAACATAGGTGTTGATGTCAGCAGCACAGCTGATATTTCTCTCCAGGATGGAGTCACAGCCAAACAGGAACAGACCAGATGAAGCTACTCTGAGAAAAAGCAGAGAGAGCATAATGTTAGAGATTGAACTAACAGATTCTGTAGAATGGGAGAATAGAGACAGAATGAACCAGAATGATGAAATGGGGTCCCTATGTCCTCCAGCAGTCTAAGCCTATAGCAGCATAACTATAGAGATAGCTCAGGATAACCTGAGCCACTCTAACTATAAGCGTTATCAAAAAGGAAAGTTTTAAGTCTAGCCTTAAAAGTAGACAGGGTGTCTGCCTCACGGACTAAAACTGGTAGTTGGTTCCACAGGAGAGGAGCCTGATAACTAAAAGATCTGCCTCCCATTCTACTTTTAGAAATTCTAGGAACCACTAGTAAACCTGCAGATTGAGAGCGAAGTGCTCTGTTAGGAACATAAGGAACAATCAGATCTCTGATATCAGATGGAGCTTGGCCATTTAAGGCTTTATATGTGAGAAGGAGGATTTTAAATTCTATTCTTGATTTAACAGGAAGCCAATGAAGAGAAGCCAGGATAGGAGAGATATGATCTCTCTTTTTCATTTTCTAGAACTCTGGCTGCAGCATTTTGGATCAGCTGAAGGCTTTTAACTACAGTTTGTGGACTTCCTGATAGTAAAGAATTACAATAGTCCAGCCTTGAAGTAACAAATGCATGGACTAGTTTCTCAGCATCACCCCTGGACAGGAGATTTCTCATTTTTGCAATGTTCCTCAGATGAAAGAAGGAAATTCTAGAAACCTCTTTGATATGGGATTTGATGTGGGACACCAACATTTTCGCTTTATTATTTGAAATCAGTTAAATAAATTTTCATTTGCTGGATCTGATCATTGTGTGTCCCTGCTTTTTATTCCCTGAGCAGGTAGTACGGTGAGCTGTCCCTAATCTCGCCACAATGACCAAACTGGGCTTCCTGCGTTTGTCCTATGAGAAGCAGGACACACTGCTGAAGCTGCTCATCCTGTCTATGGCCGCTGTCCTCTGTGAGCCCTCAGCATCCTTTAACTCGACATTATTGCTGGATGAATGAAAGCAGAGCAGGCTAGATCTTTGTGTTTTATGTCCTCCCCAGCATTCTCCACCAGGCTCTTTTCTGTGTTGAGGTTTGAAAG